TTTATTTGTAAATATGTGTGTGCATGTAGGGGATAGGGGACAACCTGACATTGTGCCCTTCCATCATGGGAGCCCTGAGGCTCAGTGGAAACCACCTGCTGGGCCATCCTCCATCACTCCTCCTACCCTTCCCTACTCTGGATCACAGAGTCCTGCCTTGGGGAGGCTGACACTTCCGGCTGTCTCCGTGGGAAGCCAGCCTGCACTGGTGGAGTGGGGCAGCTAAACATCTGTGTCTTGCCTCTCCCAGGAAGGAGTCCCCAGACTCAGCAGCACAAACGCACACCCAGACAAATGACAGGAGCTGCTGCCAGAAGAGCCATCGTTGATTTTTATGGCAACAAATGGCCTTGCCAGCATGTTAAGCTAATTTAATGAAAGCACCGGGAGGAAGGTCGTGGGCTGGACCTGGGTTTGTTAATAATGTCAGGCTTCATTTGAACCACTCCGGAAATTCCTCCCCTGGCCTCCAGCTACCTGCCACAGGTTGCTCTTTTCCTCAGAAATCAACAGTACTCTCATATATTAATGTGGACTCTCTTTTGTTTTTCTCTAGAAAATAATTAAAGTCCCGGAGCTCAATAAATACTTAAAGAGAATGTGGTTTTAATTAAAAACCTCTCCGATGGTGTCGTGGCAAGCCTCTCTTCCCAGGCAGGCGCACTGGTGACAGCCACATGCATCACAATCTGCCAAGGATGTGAAACCAAAAACCTGCACAGACAATAGCGCGTAGTTCTGACTCTTCCCAGAAGGGACAGGTGGTGAAGAAAGATGTCCAGGGGCAGAGCCAAGCTCTTCTCCCTGTGGGATGCGCAGGGCTTAAGCAGCAGGAGTGCACGTGGCCGCGTGCTCATCATACACAGACCCAAGTCTTTAAGACAACAATAGTGGCTGGTTCTATCCAGCTATCGGCGAGAAAAAGTACTTCACCAAGCACCAAGCACCAAGCACCGCAGACCGACTGCTTTGCAGTGTCTTGGTTCATTTAATCCCCACAAGGAAATTCTCCTGCCCTTTCTAACGATTTATTTATTTTTATTTTATGAGTAGGGTGAATGATTGCATGTATATGTCCATGAACCACCTCTATGTCTGGTGCCTGGAGAGGCCAGAAAGGGTGTTGGATCCCCTGGAGCTAGAGTGGCAGCTAGTTGTGAGTTGCCATGTGGGTGCTAGGGGTCCAACCCTGGTCTTCTGCGAGAGCAGCCAATGCTCCCAACCTCTGGGCCATGTCCTCGGCCCCTGCCCTTTGTTTCTTAGAGATGCAGGGCTGTTAAGCCAGGGGGAGGGGGCCATGGCTGGTGAGTGACGGAGCCTGGTACTGGGAAGAGAAGTGATGGTGTAGAAACAGGGTTTGGCTCCCCCCGGGGAGTGACATTTCTGATGGACGCTGTAAAGCGGGAGGCAGTGTGTTCCAGGGCTTCTGGCTGGAGGGCAGCTGTAAGGAAGGTCTCCTGAGTAGCTGCTGTGCTGGGGATCTTTGGACGTTTCATGGCCAGGCTTCCACGTTCCTGGACGCTCTTCCCACACCCCTTGGCAAGTCCATCATATCATCCACGTGCCACATTAAAATACAGGGGCACATGACTGAGCAGTTGTCGCAGAACTGCGCACACGTTACCTGTCTTAACCGTCAAGTCTATTACTTCGGTTTTCTTCTCCCACTTCCGCCCCCCTGAAGGCTAAGTTTCCTTTGTCAATTCAGAGAGTTTGGAGGCCTCCAGCAAAGTAACGAGAGGCAGGGACAGATGCTCCAATACAGCTGTACTCAGAGATTGGACTGCACCAGGAGAAAGGTCAATGCTGGGAACCCAGTGGGTCTTCAACTGGCCAAATCTGATCGTGCAAAGAGGGCCGGTTGTGTTTTTATGGGGGCATGCTGGGGCACCGAGAGAAAATTCCTTGGTTTTGGTTAAGTGTGTCCCATGATAGCATTGCCCAGCAGCAGCGAAAGCCCCAGGCAGAGCCCTCCCGGGTTGCCCAGACCCACCAGCACAGTCCCTTCAAGGTCAAGGCCCCCTGCAGGCAGTATCCAGCAGGGGGCGCGCGGGGACCAGGGTTGGACCCCAGATGTTCCCAGACCTAATTCAGGGAGCAAGTCTTTGGAGCCTCAACGCTCCCACCTCTCAGACCTCCTGAGCCTCAAGGCTGAAGTCAATCCACAAAGCAGTCCGGGGGCTTCAGCTCTCCGTCTCTGCGTCTGTTTAGTGTCAGCACTGCAGCTCCGTGAAAAGCTTGCGCCTGAGGTGGGCAGATTCTGGAGCCCTCTGCTTTCCAGCTTGGAGATTTGTGGGGCTCCTTTCTCCCAGTCTACCGCACTGACCTGATTAAATACTTGTTCCTGTAGAGGTCAAAACGGCAGGGTGGGGGGAGGTGGGCGTGTTTCTACGCGGGGGCCCACCCGGCTCTTCTTCCCTAGGTCACTGGGGTTTTGATAGTTTGGGTTTTGTTTGGGGATTTTTGTTGTTTTGATCACCTTCCCCTCTCGCCCCCCAGACAAGGTTTCTCTGTAGCCCTGGCTGTCCTGGAACTCGCTCTGTAGATCAGGCTGACCTCAGACTCACAAATCCGCCTGCCTTTGCCTTCCAAGTGCTAGGATTAGAGGCGTGCGCCACCAGGCTGGTCACTGTATTATTAACATTATAAGCAATAGAGAGCGATTCTGGGCGGCGCCAAGGCGCTGCCTGCCGGCAGCTGAGCTCAGCGGTTGAATCAGGAATTACAGCTCCGACCCCCAAAACCCCGCGGACGCTGCTAAAGGCGACTCTGGCTGGCCTTGTCTGGCCTGGGTAAGGGCTTTCTTCTCCCTGGTCCAAAATCGGGCAACAGAAGCATTTTCCGCGAGAGTAGGTGAGAAGCCTGGGTCCACGGGAATCAGCACCCCAGCCAGCGTGGTCGCCATGCCCTGAAGCTGTCCTGTGGGTGCTGGAACCGCCCTCTCCACCGGAGTCCCCTGATTTCCGCCTCCCGAGGGGAAGAAAGCCAGAGTCCCAACAGCTTACCGGAGACGCGCCTGCACCTCCTCGCGGTCCGAGGAAGTTCTGAGGGAGAGCGCTTGAGCCCGTTCTCCCTTCCAGCCCTCGGCCCCTCGCTCCACCCAGGTTATCTATCCCTCGGCCAGCTTGCGTCCCTCCAAACTCAAAAAAGAGCAAACTGGAAGTGAGGACCGGATGCGCGGATGCCCAGTAGCCGAGGAGCGTCCATGCCTTGCACCTTCTTCTCCCCGGGCCAGGAAAGTCCCCAGGTCGCGCCATCCCAAAGCTGCCACGCCCTCTTCCATGCACGGCCCTCCTCTCCCTCACCCCCCTGGCTGCTAGGACCTGATCACTACAACACGACATCCCTCTTGCTTTGCAGACAAAGAAATCGGTGCCAGGCCAGTTAGCTGTTCCAAACCTCTGCGGCCTTGGCCCAGGTTAGAGTCCTGGGCTGGACCATCTCACGTGCTGGGTCCCAAGCAGAGAGGAGTCAGAATTCTCACCCCCGCTTCCCTTCTCAAAGACATCTTCCCTGGAGGGCTCAAGCTCGCTCTTCCTGGATGTCTGTGGAGTCTCCAGGCCTGAGAAGGTGTGATGACGTTCTAGATTCCGAATTTGGCTGAGTTTGTGCTGGTCCCAGCAGCTGGTGGTCAGGAGTAGGGAAGAGAGAGGGAGCAATGTGTGCAGGCACCAGTGTTCATATTTAATTCACAAAGGAGCCTCGGAAAGGGTGGTCCCTTTAGACGCAGAGCTGTCCCCGCATCTCCCTACACCACCCCTTCCCAGCTCATGAAAATGCTTAATACTCAAATCGGGGTATTGATCTCTGCAGAGGCCCCAAACACACTGCCATCCACCCCCCCCCCACAGGAGGCTGGTGAGGGCTGGGGTACCACGAGCACCCTAATATTACAGTGGATATGAAAGAGCGAGGGGTGGGGACTCCACGTCTCTCTCTAAACCTGTGCCATAACCAGTTCTCTCTAGCAGCTTTGTCTCCTGGGATGCCACAGGCAGAGGACCGAGATGTTGCCTTTTAGTCAAATGCCTAAACTCTCCTTCAAGCCCTCCTGCTCATCGCTAAAAGAAATGCCCAGAGTTTGCCGAAGAGAACAGTCAGTCCATAGTCTGCTGAGGCCAGCTGTTACCCGAGGGCGAGGGCGTGGGGCAGCAGGGCGGTGGCTGCTGCCTAGGCTTTAACAGAATGGAATAGTGTGTGTGTGTGTGTGTGTGTGTGTGTGTGTGTGTGTGTGTGTGTATACGAGTGTGCAGGGGCTGGTGGCATGCTTGCTAGAGACGCTGACGGATACAGGGGAGTGGGCTGCAGGAAACACGCAGGGGTCTGAGGTCCCTAGTCCACAGTTCTCAAGAGAAGCAGACTTATTTTTTTATATAACCTCCCCAGTCCCTGTCCCCAGCGTCAGCGGCAACCTCCATACCCTATTAGCCCACAGCAAGCAAGAGCAGAGAGAGACGCTAGAGTGAGTCCAACCTAGCGTCTTAGGGGCTCAGAAGACAGCCCCCCCCCCCCCCCCCCCCCCCCCCGCTGTGGACACTCTCCATCCCTCGGCAGTGGAGTGCTCGCGTTGGTTTGGCCACAAAAGACCTGGCCGTGGAGTCCTGGCTAAAGGGGTCGGGCAGGGGCTGCGACGGGGCGAAGAGTGCGCGGCTCTTCCCCGCGCGCCCCGCGGAGCCGCGCCTTCTCAGCAGGCCAGTTGCTCTGGCAGGGAGTGGGGGTGGAGGGGAGCCAGGGTTCGTATCTGCCCAGAGCCAGGCAAAACTGACAGGGAGGGCGAGGCACTCTGCTAACACTATCAATTATGCATCGTGTTGAGCGAAGCTTCGGGGAGGGGGAGGCCAGCAGCCCGCAGGAGGGGAAGGGTCCGAGCGAGCCGGGCCGCGCCGTTCAGCCGCCCCGCTGGAGGGCTTTCTGCGCTAGCGCTTGCTTTTGGGTTTAAAAAAAAGAAAAAAGTGTTTAAAGGGAAAGACACACCCCTCCAGCTCCCTGCTTTTCTTTCTCCCAAATTCCTCAAAGACGGTTTGTCTCACGTGTTGGGGGCGTAGAACGACTCGGTTTAATTAGCAGCAAAGCTCGCGGGCGCTTGACGGGCCGGGCGCGGAGGGTGAGTGAGCGCGGACGCTGGCAAGCGCGCCGAGGGGACCGGGAATCCGAGCGGCTCGCGCCTGGGAGAACGCGTGCAAGGGAGCGAGAAGGCGCGCCGACGCGAGCAGCGCGGGTTGACGGGTAATTCTCACCTGCGAAGGTCAGGTTGAGAGGCTGCGCGCGTGTGTGCGTGTGCGTGAGTGTGTGTGCGTGTGTGTGTGAGCGTGTGCCTGTGCGTGTTGGGGAGGGGTTGGAGGCGTGACGAGTAGCGACAGTGTCATCGAGTGTGGAGCTGTCGGGAGAGATAGGAGCTTGATTACAGGGGTGCAGTGGTCTGGGGAGGGCCGCACCCTGGGCTCTGGGCACGCGGGGCCCTGTGAGCCCGAGCGGACCCACCCTGGGGTGGGTGGGGGATCTCGACGGCTTTAACAAACGTAAACGCGGCCCGAGGCGGGAGACTGTGCGCGTCCCCGCCGAGCCCGGGGCGCGCGCGGCGACTCTGCGACCCGCGAGGAGTGGGCGAACAGATAAGAACGGGGAAAGCTGAACCGGGACCCGAGGCCAGGGAGTCCTCACAGGCCGCCCCTCTCTCCCCACCCGCCGCAGCAACAGATGCCCGGCGCCCCCCGCGGCCGTCCTCGGAGCCGGGAGAAGGGCTTGCAGCCCGAGGTGGCACACGGCCCGTCAGAGGGCAGCAGGTAAGCCGCGGGCGACCGCAGCCCCGCAGCCCCGCAGCCCGCGGCTTGCTCCCGCCCAGCGCTCCGGCCCGGGAGGAACAGCGAAGGGAGGCGCCCCTTTAAGAGAAAAAGGGAGGACCCCGTAATCTCAAAGACAGGGTGCAGGAGGGTCCTACCAAGACGGACAGGAGCCTCAAGTTGGGGCAGGGAGGCTGTGCTCACACATTCGTGTGACTAGAGATGGGGTTCGCTCAGGCATCCTTGGGGCTCTGGAGAGAGGGGGAACCTCGACCCTTCTCCCCGCTTAGCTAGAGGCGGGCCCCTAAACACCCGTGGGCAGGGGGTGCCACCCGGGCTGTGGGACCCAGAGAGGAAGCTTCAGCGACCGTCCCCACAGCGTGCTCCGACTGGCCGCGGGGGAGGGGTGGCTGAGCAGTGGGGGCTCTCCCCTGAGGGCAGCTGCCGCCCAGGGCGGGAGGCAGGAAGGCTGAGTGGCTGGAGGCTGCCAGATCCCCCACCGCACCGCACCCCACAACTTCTCCAGGTTGCCTATCCGCTCCCTCCGGACTCCGAGGAGGGCAGCGTGGCGCGCACGTCCCGCAGTGGGCGGCTTCGCGCGAGGGCTGTGTCTGTCCGCTCTCTCGGTGCACGGGAAAGCGCTTTGCTTCGCGGCGGAGGACGCTGCGGCAATGCTGCGCTGAGCTGAGAGAACAATGAGCTCTCCAGGGCACATCGTGGGGGTGTCGGGGCGCCTGGGTTTTCGCGTCTGCAGAATTCACTGTGAAGCCCCCAGGAGTCTCGGGCCCTGCGCCGAGATGCCCGAGTTTTTGTTTGCACTGTTGTTCCCTGCAAGGAAGTGTGTGTGAGTGCTGTGCGTGGGACAAAGGATTCCAAAGAAGACAGTCAGTCCTGAACGAAATCTTTCTGCATCTCCGTGTCACTGGGTTAAATGAAGGCATAGAAGGAAAGGTCAGCCTGGGGCCCGCTGCAGAGCTCAGCGTTGGGCGCTCGGAGGGGCCGCTCCAGCGGAGGGGACAGGTTGGAGGGAGTGCTCCATGCCCTCTGGAGAAGCGAGCCAGGCTCCCGAAAGCAAGCACTGACGAATCTGCAGGCTTTTTACTGGGCTCCCTTCGTCCCGGAGGCTTCCAGAGCCCGCCTAGGTGTAGGAAGTAGAGTTAGTTAGAGGGGGAAGAAAGTGACCCGAGTGACCACTCCCCTTTTCACCCTGACTTCCCCTGCAGGAGCCGTGATGGGGCCCTTTGGAGCCCTGTGTTTGGCCTGGGCTTTGCTAGGAGTGGCCAGGGCCTGCCCTGAGCCTTGCGCCTGTGTGGACAAGTACGCCCACCAGTTTGCAGACTGTGCCTACAAGGAGCTGCGCGAGGTCCCGGAGGGGCTGCCGGCCAACGTGACCACGCTGAGTCTGTCCGCCAACAAGATTACGGTGCTGAGACGGGGGGCCTTCGTCAACGTCACGCAGGTCACCTCGCTGTGGCTGGCTCACAGTGAGGTGCGCACCGTAGAGTCGGGGGCCTTGGCGGTGCTGAGTCAGCTCAAGAACCTCGACCTCAGCCACAACCTCATCTCCAGCTTCCCTTGGAGCGACCTCCGAAACCTGAGCGCGCTGCAGCTGCTGAAGATGAACCACAACCGCCTGGGCTCGCTGCCCCGGGACGCCCTCGGAGCGCTCCCGGACCTGCGCTCCCTGCGCATCAACAACAACCGCCTGCGCACGCTGGAGCCCGGCACGTTCGACGCGCTAAGCGCGCTGTCCCACCTGCAGCTCTACCACAACCCCTTCCACTGCAGCTGCGGCCTCGTGTGGCTGCAGGCCTGGGCCGCCAGCACGCGGGTCTCCTTGCCGGAGCCCGACTCCATCGCCTGCGCCTCGCCTCCCGAGCTCCAGGGAGTGCCGGTGCACCGCCTGCCCGCCCTGCCCTGCGCGCCGCCCAGCGTGCGCCTGAGCGCCGAGCCGCCGCCCGACGCGCCCGGCGCCCCTCTGCGCGCAGGCTCGGCTTTCCTGCTCCACTGCGCCGCCGAAGGCCACCCCGCCCCCCGCCTGCAATGGCAACTTCAGATCCCGGGTGGCACTGTCGTCTTAGAGCCGCCGGTGCTCCGCAGGGAGGATGACGGGGCAGGCACGGTGGAGGATGGCGAGGCTGCTGGAGACGAGGACCTGCCCACGCAGACTGAGGCGCCGACTCCGGCTCCAGCGCCTGCTTGGCCAGCGCCCCCGTCCACCCCGCGCTTCTTGGCCCTCGCAAACGGCTCCCTGTTGGTGCCTCTCCTGAGTGCCAAGGAGGCGGGCATCTACACATGCCGCGCACGTAACGAGCTGGGCACCAACTCCACGTCAGTGCGGGTGACGGTGGCTGCCGCGGGGCCGCCGAAGCACGCTCCTGGAACAGGGGGAGAGCCTGATGTCCAGGCCCCGGCCTCTGAGCGCAAGACCACCACTAAGGGCCGCAGCAACAGCGTCCTGCCCTCCAAGCCTGAGGGCAAAACCAAAGGCCAAGGCCTGGCTCGGGCCAGCACCCACGGGGAAACCGAGGCGGAGCTGGAGGAGAGCGATGAGGGCGAAGGCGAGCCGGTGGGGGGCCAGCTTCCGGAGGAGCCGCTGGGAGAGAAGCCCTGCGGCCACGGGGACCCCTCTCGCTACGTCTCCAACCACGCGTTCAACCAGAGCTCGGAGCTGAAGCCTCACGTCTTCGAGCTGGGCGTCATCGCGCTGGACGTGGCGGAGCGCGAGGCCCGGGTGCAGCTCACGCCTCTGGCCGCGCGCTGGGGCCCCGGGCCAGACGGCGCGGCCGGAGAGCGGCGGCCCGGGGGGCGGCCCCCGCGCCTGCTCTACCTGTGTCCCGCGGGGGGTGGCGCGGCAGTCCAGTGGTCGCGCGTGGAGGAGGGGGTCAACGCCTACTGGTTTCGCGGCCTGCGGCCGGGCACCAACTACTCCGTGTGCCTGGCACTGGCGGGCGAAGCGTGCCACGTGCAGGTGGTGTTCTCCACAAAGAAAGAGCTGCCGTCCCTGCTGGTCATCGTGACGGTGAGCGTCTTTCTCCTGGTGCTGGCCACGGTGCCCCTGATGGGTGCCGCCTGTTGCCATCTGCTGGCCAAGCACCCGGGCAAGCCCTACCGCCTCATCCTGCGGCCACAGGCCCCCGACCCTATGGAGAAGCGCATCGCCGCCGATTTCGACCCGCGGGCCTCCTACCTGGAGTCTGAGAAAAGCTACCCGGCCCGGGGCGAGGTGGGAGGCGAGGAGCCGGAGGAGGTCCCGGAAGAGGGCCTTGATGAGGACGCGGAGCCGGGGGACCCGAGCGGGGACCTTCAGAGAGAGGAGAGCCTGGCGGGCTGCTCGCTGGCGGAGTCGCAGTCCAAGGCCAACCACGAGGAGTTCGAGGCTGGCTCCGAGTACAGCGACCGGCTGCCCCTGGGGGCCGAAGCCGTCAACATCGCCCAGGAGATAAACGGCAACTACAGGCAGACGGCGGGCTGAGCCCAGGCGTGCCTGCCGCCCCCGCCCGGGACCTCGCAGCCTGGGGCCGGCAGGACCCCCCTCGCGGGACCCAGCCCACCCCAGCCTTCAGCCGCCCTGCCCCCTAGCCCTCTGCAGGCGTCCCTACCAGGAGTGGGCCGAGTTCCGCGTCCCCGCTCAGTCCCCCGCTCGCTCGGCGGCCTCGGATCCCCACCCCCACCCGAAGCACAGGCAGGCTCCTACCTCCTCGGAGACGGCGCGCAGGGGCGGCAGGAGACCGCCCACGCCTTCCGTCCACCGCGAAACCCACGGCGCCCCCACCCCGTGGAGTCTGGGGGCAAGAGGACCGGCCAGCCGCTGGCCACACGCGCCCGGGGCCCCAGGGCAGGGCCCGCGCGGAGCGCTGTCTCCCACTTTGACCCCTCTCTGCCTCTTCAAGGTTGCATGTGCCAGGAGCCGCTCATTTTTGGCCTCAAAGCCCCCTCCCCACGATGGTCAAATCCGAGGGGCCCGTCCCTCCACTCCTGCCCCTGCCCCCTTTCTGTCCAGTTAGGCCAGGCTGGGGGCCCGGGACGCCTTTCAACCCAGCGCACTGATTTTCTTATTTTTCGTTGTTTTCAAAGACAGAGACATTTCTGGGTCTGGTGCTAACACGCCCTTCCCAACTTCCGGGAGACCGGGCGTGAGCGTGTCGGGTGTGGGAGTCGGAGTCCGTTCTCTTCCGCCTCTCTCTTTCCAGCGCTGCAGGACCGCGCGCCCCTTTGCCTCACAGGGTGCAGCCTCGGTCCCCGGCCAGTTTCCTTGTCGGTCTATCGCAGGTGCCCGAGGCTGGTGCGAGCCGCAGTGGCTCTGGCGACTCCGCGGGATCCAGACCCCAGCGGGAGCGCGCGGGGCGCGGAGAGCGCACTGTGACTCCGCGGGCGCGGCTCCTCCCGGGAGAGCGGGGTGCGCCCGGCTGTGGTCCCCGCGTGGGCGGTAGACGTCTGTGTCCTGTGAAGTGTGACCGTGTAGTGTAAGGGGGAGGGAGAGCGGGCGGGCAGGTGGGCGAGGAAGGAGGGGGGAGGGCGGGGCGGCCAGGGGGCTGGGCAGGGTCAGACTTTAGTTGTTTTAGTAAAGCGTCCGGGGTAGGGGTCCGGGCGCCCGCCCTGCGCCCTAGCTCTGGGCGAAATGCAGCACAAGCGTGGGTGACCCCGGGGGAGTCGACCTCGGGGCCCACGTCCTTTTCTAAACGCTTCTGTACGTGAACTGTCAATAAAGTCATCGATTTGAATAGGGCTCCGTGACTTTTTGTGTAGGGCGGGGCGTCGGGTGGGAAGTCGGGGCGCGCGCGGGGGGGGGGTGACAACAAAGGAAGAAAGGTGGGGGTTGAAGAAGGAACCCGCAGAAGATGCCTTTGGGGAGTCCTTTTGCCGGGTGCTTGACCCTGACCCCTGTCTGGAGGTTTTCGACTCCTGAGTAGGGAAGTGACACCACCCGGGGTGGGAGGAGGGCTCTCAGGGATCAAGGGGCTGGGGTGTGTGTGTGTGTGTACAAGCATGTGCCTGGTATGTGGTGTGTGTGTGTGTGTGTGTGTGTGTGTGTGTGTGTGTGTGTGTGATTGTGTGTGCATACATGCATGTGCCTG